CCAAGAACTTCATTAACTTACCCCATTGCACTTCAAGGGAGTTATTATAATCCATTTTAGAGGTAAGGAAATTAAGATGTGCTGAACACATCTTGCCACAGCTCTACAACTGGTTTTCAAAAGCTTGGAGTAAAATGCATACCTTTCTCATGCTTACTCCCACTGTTGGACTAAATTGGCTTTTTTATTTACTATGTGGCAGGTTGGGTAATGTGACTTTTTTTTCTCCCTCACTGCTTTTCCCTCTTCTGGCAGTAATATGCTGTTCATAAAGCTGTATATAGTCTAAAGGAAGTGGTTAAACCTTGTAAATTATGTTTAAGTGAACTGGATTTGCCTTTGTCATCCAAATTTTTTCTGTTGATGCACAAGCAATAAAATATCACTGATATGTGAGTAAATAATTTCAAATGAGCTCTGTGTATAGCACCTCTTAGCTCAGAAACTAGAATCTATTATCTAACTAATAAACAGAAAATGAGTTACAGTCTGCTTTGGTTTCAGATACAGTTTTACAGTGAATGAACATGCTACTTTGTTTAGAACCTTTTCTAGTCTGTCTTTTCCAGTTGTTTCTGGGTTGTTACCAAAAAGACAACAAAGATCCACAACCATCATCCCAGCTCATCAAGCAATTTTTTTCTTAAAGCAAAATATTCAGCTAAGCCTGATTGGCAATGACAGGACACAATCAACTTGTTGGTTTTGGATTTTTTTTCTTTGCTTTGTGCAGGAGCTGGAATGTGCATTGCCAGGCCTTGTGGAGTGGCAGGGGAGGCCTGGATGCTCAGCTAATGACAACACACAGAACATGGCTTTAAGATGCCAGGAAGCAGTTGTGAGATTTCAACCAAGGTAAGCACATTTCACTTGTGATTAACTCATGAATTAATTATTTTTCTGCATTTTGTATCAAATATTCAGACTCCTGGCTCTCACTGGCAGGTGTAGTCTATATTTATATGGCTAGGACTGTCTGGAGAAAGGGAAATGGATAAAGAATGGGAATTTCATTATTCATTAAACCCCTTACATTTCAAGCAGGGAGAACATCCTCAGTTCAGAAACTTCAGTTAGTCTGTGCCAAGTTTCAAAAATATCTTGCCACTTCTTTTCTCTCCCCCTCCCCCCAGTGCTGAATTGCCTCACTCTTTCTCAGGGCTGCATTCTCATTGTGAAATGGGAACCTGCACACCTGATTTTAGCATAGTTATGCATTTCTGTATAGTTTAGACTCTGGGTGCTGTGGCAACTGTGCTTGTTCCTGTGCTTGGAAGGGTACAGGGCATTCAGGTCAGGTACCAGCCAAGTCTTGATGCAGGTACCTCAGATGATGATGAAGTAACTCAGGTCTGGCTATACAAACATCTAAAAATGGGGCTTCAACTTCATCAGTGTCCTAAGGGTAAGATGTAGTTCTTACTGGCAGGCTTAGACTGTGGACCTAAAATCAATCTCTTCACAGTCATCAGTTTTGGGGACACTATAGAAATTTCCCATGTTCAGGTGCTATTTTGGCCCTGCTTTGCTGTGCAGAGATTTTGGCAAGTGAGCCATGTCTCTGCCCTTTGTCCCCTGTCTCGAGGTGCAGGACAGCCATGGTGCTGTGTGGCAGAGGCTCTGGATCTCTTTGGAGGAACCGAAGCAGCAGCAGCAGCAGCACATCCCAGGGATGCTCAGTGGCTCAGGGCACAGCCAGCTGCATACAGAACTCATTGGCTCCAAGGGTTGTTTCCAGTCAGGACTAGGTTAGTAGTGACAGTTGCCATCCAATGGCAGCTCTGTGCTTCATGTGAAATGAACTGCTTGCCTTCACCTCAGCTCTTCGGAGGCAACATTTAAATGATATTAATTTGTGCTCTCAAAGGAAGGTTTAGCAGAATGACCAAGCGTTTAATTAGCTTGGACAAAGAACTGCTTTCACTCTCCAATACTTCTGTGTGCAGCTGAGACACTGCATCTCAGGAAGCATTCTGAATTAGAAAGGCTGCCTTCTCTTTTTTTCTGGCATTCTTTGTGCTAGGAAAGAATTGTGTGGATGTCTTGTAAAGGGGAGTTTAGTATCAGAGAGTTAGACCTACCTAGTGACTCTGCTGGTAGGAGATCTGTGTATGGGTAGATAATAAAATAACTGATTAATTTTGAAAGGAACACAATGAAAGAATCATCAACTTTCAAGATAAGAACCAGAGTAGAGTGTGCATGAACAAAAGAGTAACTACAGTCAAGTTCCCTTGTCCACCTCAACGGTAACCAGAGTAGAGTGTGCATGAACAAAACAGTAACTACAGTCAAGTTCATTTGTCCACCTCAACAGTTTTTAGTTTGCCTGGTATTAAACCACTGTTCACTATGCTATTTATTCCTGTTTAACACCAGGGTAGCTCCTTAGAAAACCTGCTATCCACAAGGGCTAACAGTGTTAAATAATTATACCTGGATTTACCATACTAAGAGCTGTGAAAGCACAGTGATCAAATCTCAACTCTGGTTGTGTCTCAGTATGATCTTATTAAAAAAAAAAAGAGGCAACTTTACTCTCAAATAAGGAACTTTAAACATGGAGCAAACAAGAATTAACACATGGTCCTTGGCCTCACACACACACTTTATTTACTTTAACTGTCTTAACTGTCCTTGGAACAAACACTCCCACCACCCAGTTGGGGGAGGGGACTTTGAATTACTTATGCTGAAGTTACCACTTGCAGTTTGAGGATCACTGTGTTTGGTGACTCCTCTTAAGGGTCACCATCAGCTTGGCCCATCCCTCTGCTGTCATCAGCTTTGACAGAGCCAGAGCAGTTACATATCCATGTCTCAGCTCATGTGGGTTGCTGGCTGCTGCATCAGGATCACAGCACTGACTCATGCAACAGGCTGTGAAAGTACTGCCAGGGTGTGACATCTTGCCATGTTTTCTGCCTTCTCTGCTCTGGGACATGGCAAAGATTAAGTATTCAGTCTTGGCAGCAGGCAGCAATCATAGCTTGATTTGGGCAGAATGCATCTGCTAGCCCCACAAAACCTGAATTTCACTATCTTCCTCTGGTTTTGCTAGGTAACTGGTAAAATTAGCATTGCTTTGGAACACTACATCTGCCCAGGATCCCTAAGCCAAGGGGCAAAAAGCTCTCTGTTCTTTAGGAGAAGAGGAGATGGGCACATTGCTGCAGGGGTGCTCTTGGTGTGTCAAGAATAGGAGAAGAAGGATTTATTTCTGTCTCATATGAAAAAGAGTGTTTCTAGTGCAGCTTGTTGTTACTTCTGCTTTAACTAAGTTTCTGCAGAGGGCTGCAGCTCTGTCACTTGTCTCATTGCAGTTTAAAGGTCTATATGTCACTGAACTGTAAGAAATCTGTTCTGGTGAGTGTGGGGCAGCTGAAAACATGAGAGTTTTAATTTGTCTAAACATGGATGAAAAACTACTGAGATATGCAAAACTTTTCAGTACATTCCCTGTTAAGCAGAGAAATCTAAATTCAGGATAATCTAACGAGGAATGCTCATAAACAAGTATGTGATAGGGAAGAGCAGAGCGGGCAATGTAAGAACAGCAGTCCACAAAAATATGGCTCATACATATGTATGTGGATAGTTTTGTGAGGGGGTACTTTCATTTTCTAACCACTGAAACACTAAAGGAAAGGCTTTGTGGGATTTGAGGGAAGTGACAGAATAAACTTGGTGAATAGGTTTGCAGTCAGAAGTATGAGGGAATACTGTCATGTTCTTGGCTAAGCTGTACCTGACCTGTGAATCAAGGATTTCAACTTCAAAAGATTTTTATTGTGCGTGATTTATGAACTTCAGCATCAATTTAGTATATGAAGTGCCATCTGCATGGAAGGAAACCTTTGCATTTTATTACCAGAAAGGAGGTTGGAGTCAGGTGGGGGTTGGTCTCTTCTCCCAAGCAACCAGCAGCAGGATAAGAGGGCACAGACTCAAGCTCTGCCAGGGGAGGGTTAGGTTGGATATTAGGAAGAGATTTTTTTATGGAGAGAATGATCAGGCACTGGAATGTGCTGCCCAGGGAGGTGATGGATTCACCATCCCTGGAGGTTTTCAAGATGAGACTGGATGTGGCACTTAGTGCCATGGTCTAGTAACCATGGTAGGGTTGGACTTGATGATCTTGGAGGTCTTTTCCAACCTGGTTGATTCTATGATTCTATGATTACTATTGTCAGTGATTACACTGAACACTGTTCTGGTCATTGGGCATAGCTGGGTTTGGATAAGAGTGTAATCTGCACCTTTGGTAGATAAAAGTTATATGCAGGTCTTGGGAACAAATAAAGAGAATTGCCTTTTTTTTTTTTTTGAACAGAGAATATGAAAGCCAGTATGGAACAATACATATGATTACAAAAATCTGCTCTAACCAATTGCCTTCTCAGAGGCAATCAGCAAAACTGGTGTGGGTTGCAAGCTGTGCACAGTTCCCTGAATAGAAGATGGGGCTTTCTTCAGATGCCTGTTACACAGCAAGGGGGCTGAAACACAGCACTCCTGGGTGGTGGAAAGGTTAATGCTTCAGAAAAGGCTGTGTTCCAAGTCAAGGCAGGAACTAGACTTTGGGGTTAAGTTTTCTGCTAAAGAAAAATTCCTGGAAGTTCCCCATCTTCTTCATACCCCAAATAAAATAGGTGTGGAGTGGTTTCATTTAACAGGACTCAGCTGGTCCCTGGGTTGGTCCCTAATTTCTGCAGAGGCTCTAGAGTGGCATTTGCTGCCAGACCTGTGGCTGTCCTCCAGGAAAATGGGAAATGCCAGGAGCCCTGGGCTGCCCTGGATCATGGGGTCAGCCAGAGGCTCCCAGGGTTTCTGTGCTCCCCTGAGGGAGGCTGAGCTCTAGCAAGGCTAGAGCTAGTATTTAAGTTCTCAAGGCAAGTAGCTTTTGAGAGTGCAGTTCAGGTAGGAACTCTTGTAGTTTCCAGCTTTTCTGCTAAACAGCTACAGCTCGGGGATGAGTGGGAGGGGGCAGGGAAACTGCAGAGGTGCTGATGTACCCATGCCATATGGCTGACCTGCAAGGGGGAGGCAGAGCTTGTGAGGCTACATTCCCTCACCTGCACAGGCAGGTAGGTGAGCAGGGAGAGAGCTGGGAAATGACTGACCAGTTTCTAACAACAGTTTCATCAGAAATCTTGGTCTTAAAATATTGGTGTTTATGATTCCAGTGATACTTCTTGTACCATGGCATGGTAAAATCTCGGAGCAAAGTTTAAGGTTGCAATAAAATTAAAGAAAAAAAAAGAAAAAGGAGGCATGGGGAGAGGAAAAAGGAGTTAAAAAAAAAAAACCCAAACAAAAGAATAACATCCTACTGTAGCCCAAGTAGGATCTGTGTCTGGGGAGTACAAGAGGATCTCATAATAAGAATGACAAGTGTGGTCAATGAGACTGGCACTGCTACACTGGCTCTCTGTCTGGCTGCTTCTTCCTGCATTCAGGGACTGTCCAGGGAGCAGCCTTGGGCCCTTAATGGTATTTTTTCTTTCATTGTAAGTGCACATTTCATGTTCATCCCAAAGCCTGTTGCAGTTCTGCATTGCTTTCAGTCATAGGCATGCTTTTGAGCACCTGCAGACCTACATTAACATGCTTGAATTTCACAGGGCTTTTTGTCACTTGTGGAGGTCTCAGAAACGACCTTTTAGTTTTCTGGGTGCTGACATATGCTGGTTGTGGGTTCTGCCTTTCTGAGAACTGATGTGATGTAAGCTCTGGATAAGCTAAATCTGTCCTCTGATGCAGTACTGAGACTACCCTTTCCAAGCTGTTACCCTAGGAGGTCACCCTCATGGTGGGAAGGGTAGAACTGATGGCTAGACTGCAGAAAATGAAGCTGCATTGGGCCAGGATAGACTGAAAGTGAATCTGGACAAAGAGTTTCATCCCAAAGAATAGTGTGTGGTTGGCTTGGCAGGACTTATCCTGGTGTCACCAATAACAAGAGACTGAGCATGTGTGGCATCGTGGTGCATAAACACATAAATCTCCTCAGGATGGGGTTAGTGTAATCCAGAGCTGGACTGGAATGAGATTTACAAATTACAGAATGTAATGCTCCTTTCTGGGTTTAGCCTAGAAAACACTATGTGAATTTGCTTAGGTTATCTTAAAACATTTTTCCTAGTTTTATTTGTTTTTATGCAAGTTTAGAAGTGATGTCACACGTAATTCAAAAATCCACATGTTCTGGTCTGTTTTTCAAACAGCACACTGCTCATGGAGATTGATCTTCCCTGTGAAGTCTAGTAGAGGCTCTGTTATGATAATTGGTATTTAGATTTTTTTGGCTGTTGTTGTTACGTCCACAAGCTTCAAATGTATGTGTTACTCATTGCATCTTTGCCATCTGGGTCATGGAGTACAGGATAATTCTGCCCAAGCTAGAGGCCATAGGGAGGCTGAGAGACCAGACCTTTCATGATAATTCTGCCCAAGCTAGAGGCCATAGAGAGGGTGAGAGACTAGACCTTTCATATTTAATAGAGAACCATATAACATATCTGTGAGCAGTAGCCACAGAGAGAATTCCATCTACATTATTTTACATGATGTAAGTTATACAAAATAAGGGTTGCTTGCAATTATTCAAAATTTCAGCTAAGGCCTGAAATAATTTTAATGTACTCAGCACAGATGGAATATTAGGGCTTGTTCCTGCTGCTTTTGAAGTTAATGGTTATTTTGTGATTGACTTTTAATGAGAGTAGGATCCAGCCCATAGTTATTAAATTTTAAGCCTTGTGTTGCCTGGTGACAATCAGAAAACCTGCATTTGCCTAGCAGAGCAATTAGTTTTGTGAAATTGAAAAAGCACACCCCAAAACTCTGTATAGAGTAAGATCAGCTCAGTCTTCACACAAAATTATTCACTTTAGTTTTTTCAATATCTCCAGAATCTCAAGAATGCAAAATTAAGTGCATCTTACTCCAGTACCTTTAGTGAAAGAAACAGTAGCATGCAAGAGTAAATGCATCCCTGAAACAGCAGACAAGAGCATCAGCCTGAATTAGAGAGAGAGGCAGTACTTCAGTGGTGCTGTAAACATTTTACTCTTCAGAGTGCAAGACTTATGAGTGATACAGCTGTGAATTATTTAGAACTTTATATAGTGCCTGTATGAACTTCTGCCAGCGTTTTGGGAGTTTCTTGCTTGGTTGATTTTGTTTTTTAAATGAGATTTAATGTTTGCTGTTACACACCCTAAAAGAACTCATCCAAATGAATACCAGAGGTGTACAAACCTGACATGTGTTCTTTTCATCTTTCCTTTATGTATAGCTTTAGTTTAATGCAATAAATCACTCTAAATAATTTTTCTTCATCAGGGAATTAGTTCTTCAGCCGTCCATAGCCTTGCAGGTTCCTCCCTGCATGTCAGTAAATCAAAACACAAATATTTCCCTCTTTCCTATTAAATTCATCCTTTCTCTGTCCCTATGTTTTTCTAAGTTTTCATTAACTCTCTTTTGCTGTCTCATACTGTTCTCTCTGCTTCCTAAAAACTTGCGTTTGGTTGTTAGGCATTAAATTTTTTTATATCTGTAATTTCATTTCCTTTTGTTTCCGTCACATCTTTTGAGACATTTGCTATTCATTTTCAAGTGAGACAGTAGAAAGAATTTATATGTGGAGAGTTGCACAGAGCTGCAGGTAAGTGCCTGTACAGCAATCAGCCAAGGCACATTGCTGCTCAAGGGTCTCAAAAATCACTCACATCTGATCCTGTACCTGTGTATCTTGAGGGAGGTGCAGGCTGGCTGACCTGTGAGACCTCCCATTCTGGTGTGAGGTATACCCCCCCCAAAATGACTAATTTTTATTCCTATGTGAATTGCACACCTTGGAATCTTATTTGGTGCTGAGTGCTGGTTTACCCTGGTGTAGCTATCCAATGTGTCTGTTTTGGTAAGGGAAGTAGCATATCCATAGTTTCAGTCTTTTAATCCCTCATGAATCCATGAAGAACTACAACAAAGACCTGTTCATGTGTCTGTACCAGTTCTGAGGTCTCTAGAGACTTTTACAAGTATTTGTTTATGCTGGGATGACTAAGCAGGAAAATATATATTGTTTAGTCCAAAAGAATCTGTGTTTTGTGTTAGTTTTGATCATGGCTGTGAGTGAGTCTCCCAGGGCCCAGCAAACATTGCCACCTTTTCAGCACGGAGAAATCTCATTCTCTGAGACAGCAATAGTTTTCTTGCTTCAGCTGAGTTGTGAGTCAACTTGTGATACACTCATGTCAGGCTTTGAAGCTGTGTGTGGAAAACCTCAGCCTGCTTTGGGGAAGGACAGAGCTAAGCTGTGAGGCTATTCAGGTTGCTCACTTAATCCATGGGAAGTTTTATTTAGGTTTCAGGTTCATCCCTTGGTGGAGTGAATTTGCAACTAGTCCTGAAGCTGGTAGGTGTGTGGAATCTTAAGCCAGGACCACATCTGCCTGGATGAGGCACAACTGTCTCATGAGCCATAGAACCATAGAATCAATTGGGTGGGAAAAGACCTCCAAGATCATCAAGTCCAACCCTACTGTGGTTACTAGACCATGGCACTAAGTGCCACATCTAGTCTCAGCTTGAAAACCTCCAGGGATGGTGAATCCATCACCTCCCTGGGCAGCACAGTCCAATGCCTGATCACTCTCTCCATGTAAAAAATCTCTCCCTAATATCCAACCTAAACCTCCCCTGGCAGAGCTTGAGTCTGTGCCCTCTTGTCCTGCTGCTGGTTGCCTGGGAGAAGAGACCAACCCCCACCTGACTCCAACCTACTGTCAGGGAGTTGCAGAGGGTGCTAAGGTCTCCCCTGAGCCTCCTCTTCTCCAGGCTGAACACCCCCAGCTCCCTCAGCCTCTCCTCATGGCACTTGTGCTCCAGTTCCTTCACCAGCCTCGTTGCTCTGCTCTGGACCTGCTCCAGCACCTCAATGTCCCTCCTGAGCTGAGGGGCTCAGAACTGAGCACAGTATTCAAGATGTGCCCTCACCAGCACCGAGTCCAGGGGCAGAATCACCTCCCTGGTCCTGCTGACCACACTGTCCCTGATCCAGCCCAGGATGCCATTGGCCTTGTTGGCCCCCTGATCACACTGCTGGCTCATAGTCAGAAGGAAGACATTTTTCCCTTACCGGTCCAGGACCTTCCTTTTCTATTTCCATATGGAGAAGCAGCAATATACTGAGAGAAAACCAAATGTATGGAGGTTTCTGATGGCTGCAAAGTTTGATGCTCATTAGAAAATGTGGATATCTCTCATACAGGATTTCCAGGCACCTGGGGCCTTTGTGACATCTGCAAAACAGAACTTAACCAGAAAGTTGAAGATTAGAAGTGTGAAATGCCATCAAATTGAAATAAGGAAACATTCATTCTTTATGGCTCTGATGCAGGAAAACTCTTATTCCTGACTTAGAGCATGTGGGACAAATTGTGCTTAGATTTAAGCATATGTTTGAGCTTTTTCTTGACTTTAACCCTATTAGATCACCAAGACACTGGAAGTTGATTGTGCTTCTGTAGAACATTTTCTGCTTGATGAATTGAGCCCTGGTTTTGATGTCCAGGACCTCATTCATAGTTTAAATTATTTAGGATTGCAATAAAATCACTATTTTGAATGAGGTATAAAATACAGATGTTATGTTAATAGAAACATTATTATTTTAGTAAAACAAATTTATCCAGCAACTTGTAACTTATGCACAGACATGATGAAAAGTTTACAATATTTGCAGCACAGACAAACAATCTGTTGAGTGAAAATTCTTGTTTTGTTTTGTAGAATAGATCAGAACACAAGCATTTCTCCAAAAGAAGCAACTGATCAATTTAACAGCTTAGATGAGGTAAGCTAACCAAAAGTTGAAATACAATGTTATAAATTTTTAATAGATCTTTGGTTTTTGTTAATTTGAAGGTCTTGAAATAATGTAATCACTTGAGAATCTTAGGTTATTTTTATAATGATTCATTCTAGTCATGTTTTTGGCAAAAGGCTTAAAAATGTGACATGAGACTGCTATAATAGTTTAAAATCCAGAAGCAAGACATTTTAAAAATATTTGAAGCCAATTTTACGAAGCTTCCTGTTTGTGCTCAGAAGAGAATGGAGCACTCAATATTGAATGAGATGCCATCTTTCAAGAACATTTGATTTCTTCCCTCATATTACAGCTTTAAAGTGTTTATCTGTTAAATATGTTCTGTTTAATAATAAGGAATTCTCCAGATTGCTACATCCTGCATCAATAAATTATGAACAGCACAATGTAGTCTAAAAGGTACTCTAGTTGTGAGATGGGAGGAGGGGAGAGTTGAAGAGGGGAAGCAAGGAAAGCCAAATAACACCTGTGACACTTGAAACAAACTGTTTTCACAGGGATTATGCCAGAAACATGGTGTGAGTAGAGCACAAAAGAGTTGTTTATGTGATCGTGTCAAACAATGGATGAGCCTGGACTCAGTCCTCACAATCAGCAATATACTGGTGGGGACGAAACCAAGCTCTGCACTTATACCATGTGGGAAACCTTATTAAGCAGTGCCACAAATCAGAGTATCTGCACATCAGCACAGAGTATGCTTAGACACTGCAAGGACAGTGAATGATACTGGGCTTAAATAAGGTGCAGACAATATTTTTAGTGTAGTCCGTTACTGTTGGAAGACATAAGAAGAGATAAGAAACCTTTGTCCCAGAGAATTAGAATTACTTCTTTCTCAAACTTGTAGGATGCTATTCTTAAGAGACATGATTATTTTTCCAAAGCAATTTAAGGATCCATTTTAAATATTAGTGTGTCCTTTCATTTGCATTATCATTGACTGGGAATTACTGCATCCTAAACAATGGTGTTACACACCAGAGTGAAGCTGGAGTGGGTATCAAATCCAAAGCGATCACTACCAGAATAGTATGTCATAGCTTAAATTGCTTCAACTATACTGGTTACCATTGATGATGGTACCCACCATGGCCTAACTTTCCCCTGTATGTATTTTAGGTGTTTAAAAGAAGTTGCTAAACATGTTAGAAATAAATACAAACAAAACAGCCAAGGGCAGAGACAGCCCAGTTGGGCCCCAGGGACAGGGACAAGTCTGGACCATGGGAGAGTTGAAGCAGCATGTACACAGGCTGGTTCACCTCCAGACTGGATGTGCTGCTGAGTGTGAGCAGCACACCCCCCACCACTGTGTGTGGCACTGCAGTGGCATGTTAGTGGCATGTTGTCTTGCACCCAGTGAGCCCAAGGATAGGGAACCTGCTGCCAATTGCTGGTGCATGACTGTGCCCCCTCCCAGAGCACCTCTCTGCTCTGACTGTGCAGGAACAGGAGATGTACTGCTCCTGCCACTGAGCAGGAGAGTCCAAAGCTGGCACCATCCAACCCAACTGCTCTAGCTCTGTCAGTACTTCAAGCAGACCTCTGTGATGGGCAGGACAGGGTATGCAACAGGGTCATTCCTACCATTTACAAGGATGCTCTTGTTGACATGTGTTAGTGACCCTAACCCTCGGCAGTTTTGTGCTTGGCCCTTGCTTAGAGCTGTGTCTCCTTACTTGTGCTCCTGTAAATATGTGATGGCTTTTGATGGACAGTGTGCTGTGGCAGTACCATAGCACTCAGCTGTGGTCTAGGAGTAAGATGGGGTTGATGGTACACTCCATATTCATCATCTCCCTGGTGACATCAAAATGATCACAGAGACTTAGTCTTTTTCTCCCTACATCAAATCCTCATCAAGAGCACATTCATGAAAATATAGAAGGCATTTCTTCTTCTTCTTCTACTATTATTATTATTATTACACCATGATTTTTTTAGTATTTGGCAGTGACTGGAAATTTGCCATCTACTCACCTTCCCCAAATGGGTGAAAAATACAATTGAGAGCAACTGAATATAAACCAGCTGGTGAATTGTAGCATAAAGAACTGAATATAAACCAGCTGGTGAATTGCAGCATTAACATTACTGAAATATAATGTTTAACAATGTATTCTGTGTGAATGCTTTTATACTGAACTTTCAAAAAAAAAATTAATGTATCATAAGAAATGGTAAATGCTTTTATACTGAACTTTCAAAAAAATATTAATGTATCATAAGAAATGGTAGTGCAAAATGAATGTATTTTCTTGATATGGGATTTTTCTTGTCAAACACTTGAAGTAACAGTCCATGAAGGTTAGGTAGTTTTGTCAGACCTATGTTCTCCTTATTGGTATTCTCTCCTGATTTGTCTGTCTGTGTTCTCCCTACTTTTTATCAGCCATTGTCATGATAAGGTCCAGGCTGGGAACAGAGTCTTCACTGGTTTGTAACCAGTATGGTCATCTTTTGCTAGATGATATTAATGACTGTAAAATGCTGCTTGTCTGTGGTGATAATTCTACAGCCACTTCGTTTGGCTTCAGCTAGGATGAGAGACAGTGGAAAATGAGGCCTGTCATTTCATGAAAAACCTTCCCAAATAGTGCCATGGGTAAAATTGAAGTCAGCACCCTTCCCTTGACAAGGAAATTCACTGCCACTTGAAAGTTGTTGGAGGTGGTTATGGAGTTCCATAATTCTGTCTAAATGAAAAAAGTCATGTAGAGGATTAGCAAAAACTTTGAAAGTACCTCATAAAGGATGTTAAAATTGTTGGGAAGAAGTCTACCAAATGCATCAGAAGCAGGGAGCCAGGTAGGGGATTTGTGCTTGGCCTTTCCAGTTTTGAAGGAATATTTGTAAAAGGTTGGGCCAAACAGTGTCAGTTAGTGACAAGAAAAGACACCAGACATACTAGTATCCTGGAGAAACTAAGGTGTGAAGATGAGGCACTGCTGGGCAAGATGGGCAAATTACCCTTACAGAAGGCAGCTGGGCCAGAGGATGGTGGATGTGTAATGCAATCTGCACCTGGGAATAGTAAACATATCTTGTGCCTCAGATCATAGAAACCAACTCTATAACATGCCATATTTTGAAAGAGTATTGCATTTAGTAATCCTGCAATTGCTTCTTTCCTGGTAGTATAGGCTACAATGTCAAAATGTATCGTGACAACAGATGAGAGGAACCAAATTCTAAAATAAGTGTATAACACAAGCCATTTCTTTGCTCACATGTCTCTAATATCAAGCAGCATCTGATAGGAATGGCCAGAGCTCCTGTTCACTCTGGGACCAGAAGGAAGGTGTTCCTAGATTTCCTTTTTGACCTAAGCTGAGGCCAAAGTCCCAGTGTTTGACTGTAACCTAATCTGTTTTGTGGAATAGGATATGGCTTTTGAAGCACTCCTGACTGCACATAGAGGCTTGCAGGATCTAATTAGTGTGATCTTGTGCTTTTTTTAAACTTTCCTGCTTTGAGATATTTCCTAGAGCTACTTTCTGCTCCCTTTTCACTGCCTGAGTTCTGTAAAAGGCATGAAAGGACAAGGTTGAAATTCTTCCCTGCTGTGCTCAGCCAAATTACTTTCTTTTTTCTTTTTTTTTTTTTTTATTAGCCTAAAGCCACTGTCACCCTTGGGTTTATAAAAGGGCTGTATTACAATAAAAATGATGCAAAGACATATTAAACTACCCACTATGTAGGTGACATATTGTTACACAAAGGAAATAGGTACAATTCATGTTTCATTAAATGAATCAACAAATTGGTTCCAGGTATTTGACAGAGTGGGGAAGGAGCTTTTCAGGGTATAAACTTGAGGGGTTTTTTTTCTGTTGCAACCCAGATTATCTTTTCAGAAAATGCACTTCATAAATAAGCACCATTTGAGTGGCTTAATGTTTTATGTATAGCCTATGTGTGCCAGCAGTGTGATTATTAAGACAGCCTTGTGTGATTTTGGTTCATGTTGTAAGCTGTATTTCCCTGGAGATAGGGGAACTGAAGGCGTGGGGTATGGGCAGTGACTCATTTTGCCCAGTCAGATGGTGATTAGGGCTCTCACAGCATTTGCATCAGAGCAAGATGCTTGTGTCAGATTGTACAGCTGAATACTGCAAGCAGCATTAAAGATTCAAATAAGAAAGGGACCAAGCATGACACAGTAGCTGGAAGTGATGGGATAGATAACTAGCCTTGTCCTCATTGATTTGCCTGCAGCAAGTGACAATGATGTGTTGATTTTACCTTTGCAGCAGATCACAAATGATCTGCTTGCCCTGTAGAATCAGCAGAAGCCTACATAAAAGCTACGTCTACGTAATGAAGTATCTCTAGAAAAGCCAATTAAAAAATATCTCTTCCAAGAATCCCATGAGGGAGTGTGTTCTCAGTAACTCTTTGTTTGCTGCTGTGTACTGCACTCGCAGGAGAGGGAGATTTCGTTTTTTATGAATGGTAAACGGGGAGGGACATAATGTCATCAGATCGTGATGTCAGCCCAATGAATGAAATACTTCCTTAATGTATCCCTTCAAGCCCCAGAAAAGGGACACCATCTCAGTTTGGCTTCCTAGAATAAATTGTCTTTTGCTGACGAAGTCATCTTTCCCACGTGTCATGAATAATCCATGTAAATTGGGACTTAAATAAGCAGAAGTCAGGAAACTCATGGAATAATGCACATTTGTTCCCTTGCACATCCTCCCAGCCCTGCCGGTGGAACACCCTTTCGCAAGGCTCTGCTAATGGGCTCCGGCAGTTGAAGAGCTATTGCTGATTCCTGTTGTTCTCTAGCTAGCCCAATGTTCTGCTTTTGTCTGCAGAATTCTTTGTTGAAGCTACAAGCCCTGGAAACAGATCTGTGCTCTGCATTTCTGCCAACCCAGGAAGAAACTCCTCAGCTGCCGGCGCCCAAGGATACATCCCCTTCATCCATCCAAACCAGTGTGCAAGCTGATGGGGCCAGTTGTGGAGGTAAGTGATCACGGCATGATGTGTTCTCATTTGCAATTATAAAAAAGACTTGTGACTTGCTGTTTAAAATCAGGTTTGCAGTCCTCTGGGAAACAGTGCAGAGCTAATGCTGAACACCATTTCCAGATGCAGATGATGTGTAATGTAAAAAGGGGTGATACCTGCTAAAATAATAGAGATTAATGGCTAAAACTCTCTGGTTTCTGAGAGAGAGTCCTGCTTTTCAGACAGGTTTTAAGAATTCTGGTTCTTTTGTTTTCAGTTTTAATCTGGTTTTTGACCAAATAAATTTATGCTCTTTACTTCCTATGTCTGTATTGTGTGAGATCACCTGCCATATCATGTAATTCTATTTTTGTCATTCTTTTTGTCAGAGAAATATCACTTCATTTCTCCTATTATTGATTTTAATTTAATGCATCAGCAGAGAGATAGCGAAGGTGAGTTTTACAGCATGTGGATTTTAATCATTCATGAACCCGTATTATTATCCATCTGGGCAAACTGTGCTGTGTTACCTCTCCCTCTTCCCTTAATATGGAAATAAATAGCCCTAAGGCTTGGCACTATTTTTGTCAATTCATAGCTTGTAGTCAGAGGGCTGGCAGAGTCGTGATGCTCAGGAGAAGAGGAGTCACTGCTGGTGAAAAATAGGTCAAAGGCAGTATGACTAATACATCTCACAGACAAGTGATATGAATACACAACTACCTAAATGGTGCAGCATGTATGGTTCAAATTAAGGCAGGCAGGTCAGTAATCCCTGTGCAACTGATGTTTTATATCAGAATAAATCTGAGTTCAGGAGAGTCGTGATGCTCAGGAGAAGAGGAGTCACTGCTGGTGAAAAATAGGTCAAAGGCAGTATGACTAATACATCTCACAGACAAGTGATATGAATACACAACTACCTAAATGGTGCAGCATGTATGGTTCAAATTAAGGCAGGCAGGTCAGTAATCCCTGTGCAACTGATGTTTTATATCAGAATAAATCTGAGTTCAGGAGATTTCAGGAGC